GAAGTGGGAAATCATGTGCAAGTCTATAAGCCTACAACATTATTATTTTTTCATCTCATTCCTTTTGATTCAAAGAAACCTCATTAACAAGAATTAGCTCTCAGTAGACTATCAAAGAGTGGAAGTTTCCAAAAAGCTTCTGTATGTTTTGTTAAATGGTTGTGTGCCACATAAATGCCAGTATTACTTAAAAAACCAGGGAAGATTACACAATTCAAAACATCATATCAGATCATTTATTTACCAGCTGAAGCATCATATACTTTGTTCTGGCAGAGACGTTACTGATTATAGCATTACTTTCAGAGTAAGCTTCTTCAGAAACTAAGGATATCAGAATCTGGCATTTAGCCAAAGGTGTTATTTATTCCATAGACTCTTTTCTTTTGTCTAATATTTAGTAAATACTTATATTTGACTTCATCTACATGAATAATTGTAGTTATACAAAAAAGCTCTGATAATGGCTAATGCTCAAAAAGGGGTATTTCAAACAGCAGTGACACAATTCAGCTCATTGGTGCTTTTTTTTTTTTTTTAATATTTCCCATGTGCTCACTGACTCTCCTGTTAATGTTCTAAACACTATTGACCCACTGGAGTGGTGGTTTCCTCTTTCTTTTCTTTAGTTTGTGTCAAACTGTACAATTTGTTAGCAACTTACTTCTCTGAGATCAGGAGCATTAAAACCAACCCGTGGGGTGCTACCGAGAGCATGGCAGGTCTTCGGCAGCGATGAGCTCCTGCCTCCTCGCTGGAGGGTGGGCCAAAACCCTGAGCAGCCTGTTCCAGCTCAAATCAAATACAGTTGCATGTGTTAACCACTAGCAGGGAGCAGTGTGATTAGCGGGCAGTGATACTTAGGTGGAATTACATAAAAACTGCCTTAACCATCACTACATTCACAAAGGTACAAGGCAGTACGATTGCTCTGGCTCTGGGGAGCATTAGACAGATCGATTTGCAAGAACCAAGGTATGCTGAAATTGATAGAGTTAATTTTAAACAGTCTACACCGGTTCAAAATTCATCTGATTTCCACTCGAATGCAAAGAATGAAATGAGTTACTAGCATAAATGCTTTTAATTTTTAGGGGAGGCCAGTGCCTCGACGATGTGGGACAACAATGCTTGGATTTTCTTTTATGACAACAGTACTGAAGGAGAACCTCCCTTCTTAATCCAGGATTTTATCCATGCCTTCCAACCGAATGCCAAACTTATCATCATGCTGAGAGACCCTGTTGAAAGGTGAGCAAGGATCACGTTGCTAAAGTACATGAGAAAATTTTCTTACTATAATAATGTTATTCACTCTCCATTTCTTGGATGCAAATGAGTGTTCACATGGTATTTGACAGAGTGTTGTGGTTTAGCCCCAGGCAGCAGCTCAGCACCATGCAGCCGCTTGCTCACTGCCCCTGCCCCGGTGGGATGGGGGAGAGAATCGGAGGAGTGAGAGTGAGAAACACTCCTGGGCTGAGATAAGAACAGTTTAATCATGGAAATAAAGTAAAACAGTAATGATAATAATAACAATATAATAATGATAATAATAATAATAACGTACAAAGCAAGTGATGCACAATGCAATTGCTCACCACCCGCCGACTGATACCCAGCCCGTCCCCGAGCAGCGATCGCTGCTCCCCGGCCAACTCCCCCCAGTTTCTATACTGAGCATGACATCATATCGTATGGAATAGCCCTTGGGGCAGTTTGGATCAACTATTCTGGCTGTGCCCCCTCCCAGCTTCTTGTGCCCCTGGCAGAGCATGGGAAGCTGAAAAGTCCTTGACTGGCATAAGCAGCACTGAGCAACAACTAAACCATCAGCGTGTTATCAACATTCTTCTCCTACTAAATCCAAAGCACAGCACTGTGCCTGCTACTAGGAAGAAAATTAACTCTCTCCCAGCCAAAACCAGGACACAGGGTTACTTAGTTTATGATGAGAGCTGCCGAGGGTTTTTTTCTGTGTATTTTGGTGTATGTAATTCTGATAGCGTTTTAAAGAGGGGCATGTGAGTGTAAATGCCAGAGCAAGTGCCATGCATGGACACCTGAGCTACTCTGAAAAAAATAGTTTACACGTTGCCAAATACAATATAACTCCATTACCTGAGCTAATATGCCCTGGTTCTCAGTGGGGCTCACTAGACTGAGTATGGCACTGCATTTACATGTCTTGGCTTAAGTGGTCCTGTGAAGTGCTTCAATTCATGTTAAATATAAGGTTTATGTCTTCAAGGGGCATACTGTTCAAAATTATTAAAAGATTGCAAATGGCCCCAGCGTCAGCAAAGGATACAAACTTTTTTTAATCTTAAAACTGCTTGGTGCAGCACTCATATAAAGCTTCCCTAGACAATTTTAGCTTGCATAGCTAACAGTTGCTTAGGAGTTTCATCCTTGGTCTTCCTGACTTTGTCTGCAGTGGAAGGGCTCTACTTTTGCAGAGCTGTGGGCTGTTCTTGAATGGTTCTCCATTGCATTAGCCACAAATGTCCTTCTTTTCACTTGCATTTCACTTCTTCCCTCCAGTCTTCCGCCAGATTTCTAGGGCATTTCTTTCCACTCTGTCCTCTGAAGGAGGATGCTAACGATGAGGGTAATGGGGAGGGTGGAGGGGCTGGAGGCAGAGTCCAAAAGGATCAGACCACGGGGGTGTGAAGTGCTTCTCTGTGTAGCCCCATAGGGATATTCAAGATACTTAGGGCTAGGTCAGTGCTCAAGGGCAAAGCCCCAGCAACACCCAGAAAAGAGAAGGGGATGCCAGCGATGATGGGGACCAGGCTCTGGTGAGAGCTGGGGCACTGGCAGAAGGGCAGGCATGGGGTGCTTGTGCAGGCAGCCCGTTCCCCGCTGCCCAGGGCGACTTGGCGGCGGGAAGGGGCTGGTGCTCCTTGGCGAGCTTCAGCGACGGCAGGACATGGCTCCTGGCGAGAGGCAGAGCTGTGCGAGTGCTTCCCATCTCCTATGGCAGGAAATACAGTTCTCAACTTCGAACGGCATCTCCTGACCCCAGGATTTAACAGATGGTAATTGTGTGTGAGAGAGCTGGCTGAAGTGGCTTCCTCATGTAAATTACTGACAAACACCGTGATTGTTTTAAGCACCCTCTGTAACGTGGGTGTAGCTCTTTGCCAGCTTTAATAAGGGTGAGATAAAAAGTCAGCTTCACCTCCCTTGCTGTATTTATGATAAATTGGTTTCTTTTTGTTTATGATTCCCTATGCCCTTGTTGCTGATAGCTCGTCTGAACTACAGGAGCAAAAGCAGCCGTGGCAGAAGGGGCAGCCTGGGCAGCTCCACCAGCAATGCAGGGCAGCGGAGCAGTTGCTTTGCAGTAGCCAGGAGGACGTGGGTGCTGCAAAGGGTCTGGGACAGTGTCTGGTTTAACCTGCGCAGGGTCTGGTCTATCACCCAGCAGGGGATATTTGGAGGACATCAAGGTTTGTGGTGGTGGGTGTCAATGGCATCATTATTTCATTGCAATGGATGGTGATTGAGGGTAATGACTTCAAGTAGCCGGAACAGCTGAAATCCTCATCAGCAAAGGTTTTATTTCCAGGCAGATGTCCCCAGAATTAAAAACAGATGGAAAGAAATATAGAAAAATCTCGACTGCCCTGCAGAGACAGAATTTGTCTTCAAGAAAGCAGTTTTCCATAGTATGTCAGCAAATCTTTAAAATGATGTGTTTATTTTAATGGATGATTAGAAATACTAAGCAGTCAGATTAAACATTTTTAAATAACATTGCAGCCGGGCCCATGCTGTACATGATGCTGTTGTGCTTTAGCCCCAGTCGGCAACCAAGCACCACCCAGCTGCTCGCTCACCCTTCCCCCCGGTGGGATGGGGGAGAGAATTGGAAGGGCAAAAGTGAGAAAACTCATGGGTTGAGATAAGAACAGTTTAATCATTGAAATATAATAAGAATAATAATTGTAATGAAAAGGAGAACAACAGGAGAGAGAGAGGAACAAAACCCAGGAAAACCAAGTGATGGAACCACTCACCACCCGCCAACAAATGCCCAGCCAGTTCCCGAGCAGCGATCGCTGCTCCCCGGCCAACCCCCCCAGTTTCTATACTGGGCATGACGCCATATGGTATGGAATAGCCCTTTCGCCAGGTTGGATCAGCTGGCCTGGCTGTGCCCCCTCCCAGTTTCTTGTGCCCCTGGCAGGGTATGGGAAGCTGAAAAGCCCTTGACTAGCATAAGCAGCACTGAGCAACAACTAAAAACATCAGTGTGTTATCAACATTCTTCTCCTACTAAATCCAAAACACAGCACTGTGCCTGCTACTAGGAAGAAAATTAACTCTCTCCCAGCCAAAACCAGGACAGGTGCCTGCTGGCTGATTTCCCCAGCAAGAAGCTTTTCACCTGCTCTGCTAGGAGCAGTTGGTCCTGCCATCCCTGGGACAAGCCAGACAAGCCCAAGTCTTGTTGATGTACACACCTTTCTGCAAGCAGGAGATACTGTTGTGTGCCTAATTTTGTTGAGGTTGGCTGGCTTTGTCCCTTAGCTTCTCCCCAGCTCATCCTCGTTCCCTGTGCTGGTGGGGTGGCTCTTTGGTGGGTGCAGTGAAGGGACCCAAGGTCTGCCATTGCAGAGGGAGAGGACGCACGTGGTGCCATGGCTGTGGTCCTCAAGCAGTGGTAGACATCACTTTGACATAGAGTGTCTGACCAACCTGGTCCATGCCTGGTACCCTCCCTCTGCTCTGAGATGGATTTTTTTTCATTTAAAGAAAGCTGTCTGAAGTGCATTTGCCAGACTGGGAAGAACTGGACAAAAATCCAGAGTCTTCATCTTTCTTAGTTGGTAACTCCTATAGATAGCATTGAGTGCCTCTGCCTCATCTTCTATAGTTTGCTGTGATTTTTCTCTTAAAAAGCCTGTAAAAAATTGAAATAAAAACATACTGCAACAAACGTATCCTTTTTCTTCCTTTTAAAATGAACGGAGTCTTCATTTGTTTCATATGGGAATTAAAATCCTGTTCTTGCAAAACACTGACATAAATAATGAGTGCAGAGGAGCCATTCCTGTGCTTAAGTGCTTTGCTGGATTAGGGCCTAAACTTTCTAAATTAAATGATGAATTTTTAAGCACCTGTGGAAATCTAGGGAAGTTAAAAAATAAATAAAGCGCAATACAAAAGGTTACTGCAGCTATAAAATGAGACCTAAATAAATCAAGTTTTTTAGGTCATTTCTTAGACACCTGTGTTTTTTGAAAGAGGCTGAACGATATCTAGGATTTCTGGAATTGTGTTGAGAGGTGGGTGCTATGGAGGCGTAATGTTTGTGTTGCAAACACACTCGGGGAAGTGATTTCTCAAGTGTTACAAAACTGTCTCCAAACTACTGTGGTTCTGGTCATAGTTTGTGAGCCTAAATATGAATGCAAATTAAAATATCATGTTCAGTGCATGATTCACAGTCTAATATTTATGCCATGTCAGAGCATTTCCTTTGTCACTTTGAACCATGTTTGTCTTGGAAAAGTTTAATCAAGGTTTCGGGGATTAATGCTGAAGTAGTTATTTTATTGCCTGTAGGTTTTGGGTTGTTTCCCCACCACCACACAAAGGGACTTGAATTAAGATAATCTTTTTCAGGTGATATTAAGCAATTTTAAAACTTGTGCTAAAAATATGCGATGAGGGGATACTCCTCTGCTGAAACTTAGGAGAATTCCTGTTGCTGGTGGCTCTTGCTCACGGCAGCGGCTGATGCAGGGGCTCTGCTTGTCTGCAAGCTGCCAACATACATGGGGCCACGTCCTGCTGTCCTCAAAATAGAGGTGGGACTGCTTGGGGAATGCTACAGACTGTAGCACAAATGTGAGCCGTTCACCTAGCTGTGGTATTTCAGCTTAAAAAACTCCAATGTGTGGAATGCTGTAAATTGGGAGGTTTTGATGGAAAGTCAACAAAGAAACAATATGGGGTTGGAGGTGGAGCATTTTCCTATTTTTGATGATGGCCAGCTTGGTAATCACAGAAAAATCACTCTTTCTAACCCACCCCATTCCTCTGTTGGTTTTGATTTCAACTTAAACTTTTGAGATAAGGACTGTTTCTATCCATGGCAGTGTGGAGCACCAGATATAGAGGGGTACCAACGTCAGCTGAGACCAGTTGTACTGTTCATGGATAACACAAATTTAAAGTGTATACACTTGAAAAATTTGCCTTTGGGAGAAAACCCTGGCTTGCACATTTACTAGGGTCAAGTTCTCAAGGGATGCTGAGCTTGAAAGTGGGGATGATGTTTAAAAACTCCCTGGAGTGGATGTTACTCTGAGCCAAAACCCATCAAAATGAATAGAAAATGTGTCCCTGGCTGAACAGACTGTCGGTGGGGCAATGTTACACACATGCACCCTTTCCCCTCGATACGTGTAACCGATTGCCATTGTCATGCAAATGAATCTTCTTTCATTTCCTCTGCCATTTACTTACACATATCATCTCATTCGCAGATTGTACTCTGATTATCTGTACTTTGCAAGTGCTAATAAATCTGTGGAAGATTTTCATGAAAAAGTGGCAGAATCACTGCAGCTGTTTGAAAATTGCATGCTGGATTACTCGCTGAGAGCCTGTGTCTACAACAACACCCTGAACAATGCCATGCCCGTATGTATTTCCAAGAACATTTGATTCCTTGCTTGTTTAATGGTACGTTGTGTCAAGGTTATTAAAATACTGAAATACTGTGTGAATAAGCATCAAGAAATAAAACTTTCTCCCTTTTCTTTTGTAAAGTGGATGACATAAATATATATGTAAGCACGTAAAAGCTGATGTACTGGCTCAGCTGCTTCCTCGGTCTGTTCCCTGATGAATGCCAACAGTAATAATACGGTCTTTCTATTGTGCAAGCGTACGGAGAGCACATTTAGTGAAGATTACAGTTTAATGTGTAAGCTTTTTGCAGGTCTCTCCAAAAAGTAGCTCTGGCAAGGAGCTTTGTGGTACAAAATTGCCTCAAAATCAGAATAAATTATGTATTCTTTCACAAGAAAAGGCTACCAATAACCGGATAAAAACTTTTCTTTTTTTTTTTTAAATTGTGTGCATCAGAAAATGATAAAAGGAAATACAGAAACTGCTGGCAGGGGAATGGATAAGTGTTACAGGCTCAGTATTCCAAAATTCACATTTTTGGTGTAGAACTGACTTCAAATTTTGCTTGGTGGGGGGAGGATAATATGGAAGAGATTGGCTTGACGTATCACATCTGGCCAGTTTGCCATTCAATCCTATTTTATTTCCTTAGGCTGTAAAGGACTCAGAGGGAACACTTCCCTCCTTTGTCTCCGGGGTGAAGTTATTGCCTCCTCCACTCGATAAAGTAACCGTAAAGAGTGTATTGCACAGGCTTGAGGCCCACAGCAGCAGGGCAAACAGGACATTCCTCTTACTTCGGCAGGTAGACTGGGGCTGCTAGTCTTTGATGAGAGCCTCCAAGACCTCCACAGACACGAGCTGCTGCTGGGCAGTATCACAGTATTTTCCAGCCATCTGCTTGCACAAATGCGTTTCTTCCAGTGTGGGGAGAGAAAGGCAGAGAGAGAACCAGCAGGAAAGATTTTCCTCTTATCTTTGTCCTCAGGGTGCAGAACCAATCTTCATTTGTTGTCTTAGGCAGCCCTCTGAAGAAGGTACTTTTGAAAATGAACAGAGGATGCCTCTTTCCAGAGAGCCACAAGCAGGTGTTCATAATAAAACAGAAATACTAACTGTGCTCCTCAGTGGGCTTTTTTAGCTGCTTCTTCAGCCAAGTTGCCAAAGCCGGTTTTGTGCATGGTTTGCTATATATTGAAAAAGTAGGGATTATTTTCCCCAGTGAGCTCATTAGATTGCTGATTGTGTGACTACACCAGAAGAATTTTGTTTTGTTATTTGTTAATATATTCCTGAAACAAGGGAGGTGTTGTACACCTCATCACTGCTGATGGATGCTAACCTGTAAGGAGAGGGGCATTTGTCAGCTTATCCTCACTTAGAGTCAGTGGAAAGCTTATTACCCAGAGAAAGGCATGCCAAGCCAGGGGGATCAAACCAAAAGTCCAGATGTGGATGTTATGGAGAGAAGAATGGCTTGGGAAACTCTGCTGATGCCCTGAGATGTGTAGCACATATATAAAGAAGTCTGCTAAACATGGAGGCTTAATGTAATAAGCAGCCAAAGACACAAATCAGAATCATATATTATGATAATAATGACTTAGCAATAATTCAAATCATGGCTTATTTTACTGGGATTTTGGTGTCAATGTAGGTCACACGAGTCAGTGTAAGAAGCAAGTGTCTATTGTTATCTGACTTCATTGGTTCTGTGGTAATGCGACTTGAAAATTTTAAGTCTCTCTTAGGAAAGATGCTTATGACTTGGGATTCATGTTTCTCTCTTCTGAGCCTGAAGGGATTTAGAAAAATATTTATAAGCACAGTTAGAGGTTGGACTTTTAAGAACACCAGACTACCCTTTTTATGTTTCAACTTGTTATGTAAAATTGAGGAGGGAAGAAAAACAGAGATTAGGTCAGGACAGGCTGAAAAACTGCCTTTTCACATCTCTGGTCTAACATAGTCTGATGCTCTCATTGCATGCTCAGACGATGCACCATTAACACTGTCTAGCAGCCACTGCTACTGCAGCGTAGATCTAAATCTAATGATTGCAATCAGAGGATAAAGCAAATACACCCAAATCTAATTCCTGACACCGAATCGGCATATTTGTACTACTCATGGCAGCATATTCTTGTGCAGCTGATAATCAAGGTGAAATAAAGAGCCGAAGGGCCTGAAGAAAGTAGCAGGACTTAGCATCTTCCCTTCCACTGCTGTTCTTCCAGGGGCTGAAAGCCCTCAGTGTCTCCGTGAAGGCTGGGTCATCCCAAGCACGGAGGAGCACGGAGGTGAGGTGGCCAAGCATCCTTCTGCTAATGGTTGTCTCTGTGCAGCGCTTTTACGCAGACCTGTGGCTGATGCAGCAAGCGCGCAGCCAAGCCTTTAGTAAAATGACATCTCTAACCAGTAGAAAAGCTGTTTGCAAAGATATCCTTAAGCTGCACTGAACACAAGAGGAAGATTAAAAAATATTCAGATATTGTCTTTTTATGGCTCCTCAAAGGGACATATTTGGGATTTTTGCCCAGAAGACAGAGGCGAGTGTTGGTTTGTTACTGCTAGAAGGTTGTAAGATGAATTAATTTTAATTTCTTTTGGGTTTTTTTCTGCTTACAGGTAAGGTTACAGGTTGGGCTCTATGTTGTGTATCTTTTGGACTGGCTGACAGTTTTTGACAAAGATCAGATTCTCGTTCTTCGCTTGGAGGACCATGCATCAAATGTGAAATACACCATGCACATGGTGTTCCAGTTTCTGGATCTGGGTAGGTGTCTTCTGGCTATTTTGAGATAAGTGCAAAAATTCATTATTTTCCTTCTTCTAGGTCATTTTTGCTTTATTAAGAAACAAAACAGAAGCATGAGAATCTTTCTTGAAGGATGCATTAATCTTGTTGCTTGGAGTCAAGCAAAATTAAAATTCCCAAATTCCCATATAAAGGCTAGTGTTAGAAGATCTTAATAAGACTATATCAAGAAAAAAAATCAAGCCATTCAGAATGCAGGGATATATCTTATCATACAGAAGCCAGTCCTGCTTCTGAAGGCAGTCAGGGCTTGCTTTGTCATGGGCTTACATAGGTGCAAGAGCTATCCCACGCAGTTTAAACAAATTGAAGTGCTACCGTGGTGTGCACACTGTTGCCAGCATGCACCAATCCAGAATCTAAATCTGAGTATGATGAAAGGTTGTGTTTCTAGCTGGGGCGGCGGGGGAAATTTTGTTTTTGCTGTGTTGATTGAGACATCTGTTGCTAATCCTCAGAGAAACACTGGCAGACAAAATGTTGCCCAATGTTGATTTGACAGTAGCAAGAGGATGAAAATGTGGCTGCAAAATAGTCTGGCTGGTCCAAACACTGGTCTAGATGATGAGAAAGTTTGAATGTAGCAGATTGAACAGATGAAGAGCTTGGCATCTTCTTCGTGAATATGGTTTACGCTGGAAAAGTCTGTGGGTTTTTATCTTGCTGAAGCACATTGTGAAGGGCTCACATTTATTCCTGGAACAGGGGCATCGCTGTACCTGTGTACCACTTTGAACCCACTGACAACCTCAAAAGCAAACAAAAAAAGGGCTTACATGAGTGAGGCTTGTGGAGTTTCTACCAGGTATTAAACAACTCACATCATAAAATGAAATAACAGTGTAAAATAATTGCAGCTCCAAAATGGACAGGAAGTTGTATTCAATGTCATAGTTATTTTCTGAAAACTTTTTTTTTTTCCTCCAGAAATGATTTATGCTGCTTGCTGTAGAGAAAATTAATTCATGTGAAAGGAAAACTTATTATTTCCATATTTACTAACAGTGATTTATTTTACTAATCTAAGCCTGTATTCAATATTCTGAAACATCATTGCTGCTAACACAAATTAGATTTGTCTTCCCTTGGCAAACCTTCTGAATTAGTCATTTGTCTTCTTTAGCATGTGCATTTTTTGGTGAAATATTTTGCGATAATATTCTGTTTGTCCGCAGGACCTCTAAGTGAGAAACAAGAAGCTCTGATTACAAAGAGTCCTGCATCAAACACTAGACGACCTGAAGACAGAAGCCTGGGACCTATGCTACCAACAACGAAGGCAATTTTAAGAGATTTCTATAGGCCTTTTAATACAAAACTGGCACAAGTTCTTTTTGATGATGCTTTTTTATGGAAGAGGACATAATATGTAAATTTAGTGCCACAAATACAGTGCTTAAAGGAGTTTTTATTTTTTTAAATTCTATTTTTGTGTGTGGATATTTACATTTTTCCCATTCCAAAGAGAAGCCGATTGATGAGCTGAGACTCTCACCTTCAGTCAGCACACTTCACAACAGTTATACCACATTTTCCTTGTGAGAATGTAAAGCATCTTGCTTACCAGTTTATTGCAACTTCTTTTACCCCGGCAAAAGAGTAGAGTGGAAAAGCATTAGTACAAAGACGATGTCTACACTCTCCACGGGGATGTTGAAGTTTAACCTTGTCTAAGATGCTTCAACACAGAATTAGCATCAATTTCCTACAATTATGCTTATAATCTCATTTTCAATATATGTTATTCATTCATTTTTCAAACTATCAATGTCATTTAGTCATTAAAATTTTTAATTGAATTCAACTTAAAAATTTGTTTCTTTTTGTCAGCATATTCACAATGGTCTTCACTCGCACTAAGGTTTTTATGTTTCCTTAATTCTGAAACACAGATAAAGGATAATTGCATTTACATAAATTTCCAAGTCTGATTTATATCTTCAAAATAAATGGACTTTTCTAGCCACAGTTATTGTAAAAAAAACCCCAAACCTATATTCCAGGTAAGAATAGATGGCTGAAATCCAAGCAACAAGCCACATTCAGTGATTAGCATAACAAATCCATTTTCTTCCATATTTTGTTCGTGTAAATACAAACACGTATCATCTATTCATATCGCTCACACATTTTCCCAGGAAACCACTAATGGGCTTGACGTAAAGTCCATTGCTGGCCATGGAGAGCTTTTATGCAGTTTCCTGTTTGGTCGTACACAATTACTCTTCTCCACTGCAAAGAAATAATCATTTTAAAATAATTATGAAATCTGGTTATTAAATGCATAAATGGACAGGATGCACAGTATCTTGCATCCTCATAGAAAGGATATGTTAATTAATGAATCAGTTGTGCATTATGTTCTTTCCTTATCAGGAAAGATGTCTACATCTAGTTAAAAAAGTTGAGATATACAGACTTGAGAAAAAAATATTTTGAAAGCTATGGAGAAACTTTGGACTGTCTGAAAGTTCTTATTTGACTAAAATGGCCAAATTTTTATATAAATGTACAATAATTCAATATTTGATTTCAAACACACCTGGTTAGGGTCACCGGTCAGCTACAGTCTCCAGCCTTCCTGCAGGGAGAACTGGCCAGCATAGTCTACCTAAGCTAGGGACTTTTTTAAGAGACAAATGAAAATGCTTCCTGTTGATAATTTCCTTTCAGGGGTTAAACTGATTGTTTCTTCCCTGAATGTGTTTTGAGTGGGTCAAATGAAGCTGGTATCAAGCTAGCAGGTATCAAAAGCCTGAAGAATTATCTCTAATTGGCTTCATGTGCCCTTTCAACCTTTATGTTGGACCCCATAATACATCTTACTGACAGATTCACAAATACCTTTACAAATACTAAGGGTAACTCTTCACCATCCTCCTCCATGAGGACATATTATCACCTCCTGTGTTTCTAAATCAAGAATTAATGCTGTAAACTTCATGAATCCTGAACATTTCACATGTGACTATGATTAATGACAGGTGAGATTTTTTTGTAGCAGAAGCCCACTTCTAGGTCCTTTGCCAACTGGTAATGCGCTTTTTAAAAAAGGATTCAGTCTGGTATTTGGAAAGCCTAAAGCAAGTAATTTAGGGAAGCAGTTCTAGACAACCAGAACAGATTAGTTCTAGTTCAGAAATGCTTACAGACCAAAAATGGTTAGAGAACTGAGAATGGTCTATTTTACCACTACAAAAAAAGTATCATGGCAGCATGAATCAGAAAATCAGAATGAATTCACTGCTGTTTGCAAATGTAAAATTTTCAGTCAACAGTTTATTTACACTAAAGATTTCTGCCAGGTGTGCCCTGAATTAGAGTCAACACTGTGTGGTCAGGGTAGCTGTATACAGAATGTTTGCTAACCAGATCTGCCATGGTCAAATATTTCCATTTAGTTGTCAGCAACAACCACGATCTAATGATGTTATCTTACCAGCCCTAGAAGCTAATGAATGTATCTGTCATTATCTTTTAGCGTGAGCATTAATTTCATGAACAAATGACACACACTAGTTTGTGCCATGTTGATATATGGTGCTGAACTCTAATTTCTGCCAGCAGACCCACAAGTCCACCAGTGGTTGGGGAGATTCTCTCTGCCCTTTGCCTATGTATATAATCTAAATCAAAACACGCTTCATGGTCAAAATTTCTGCTTTAGGCTGGACTATACCTGGCACCCCTAGAGCGAGGTCTTGCCTAGTTCTGACTCAGAGGAAGGAGAAAGGTTGAAGGTTCCCTGTACGAAGTGGACAGTGGTGACCACTTGTGCCCAAGTGTGGATGAGCTCAACAGAGCGTGGCTGGTGCACTGAGTGTCACCGTGTTGTACTTAGCACAATAACACATGGGGAAGGTGCTATAGCTATAGATGATCTGCTAGGAGCCTGTGGTCCTTCCAAAAGTGAAGTCTCCAATGAGGATGCGTTTATGTCTTCATCTCTTTCATGAGCTCCAAAATACGGTCTCTTGATTTAATGCATTGCAACCTTATACTGTAGGGGTGCAGCATGACTAAATATCAAGAAGTAGCAAATTAACTGTCAAGAGGTCATCTTGGAGGTAAGGATGTTGCTCTCTAGTCCAGACTGTAAAAATGGTATTGATCTGGTGACTCAGAATGAAATAAAATAACATTTGATTTTCTGGAGTGATGTGACTGTGCTGGGTATCAGATCCCTCCTCTTCAGCCACAGAGCAGTGTACCACTGCCATTCAGAGGCTTCACTCCCGCCTCACAGCAAACCTCTATGTAGGATAAAGCTCATCCCAAGTTCTTCCAGTTCCCTGTACCTTACTGTTGACAATTCTAGCTGTGAAAGGATTCAACATTATTGTTCACTGTAGCACTGAGCTGACCTGCATCACCGGAAAAGTAATTTGCTAAGAAATTGGACTTACTAGCAAGACAATAGGTTTTCATGTTTGCCAAAGCATAGCAGTGGCTCTTTGCAAAGAGCTCAGAAAATGTGTGTCTCATACTGTGTTTCCTCTTATCTCTGCTGAACAAAAGCAATCAGGCAAAGATGCAGCTTTCTGGAGTGCAAAGGCACTGAAGAAAGGGTTGTTTCCAAATGTTCTCGCTGCTACTGCAGAAGAATGTGAAATGTGTTTTCGGTAAGACCTTGCGTGTTTGGGCCAGGCATGTTGGCTGGCTGGAAGAAGCACAGTAAAAACAAAGGATCTCCTTCTAAGAAAAACAGGCACTGGTTTACACAGAAAATGATATGTTGTTATCTGTTGAGTCCAGTGCACAGGCTTGTACGCCGCAGCTTAATAAACTGAAGCCAGTGAAGTTGTCACAGTTCTGAATATATCTTTCTGCCAAGAAATTAATCCATCTTCCAACTAAGCCAAACGCTCTTTTACTAAAGACAAAGCACAACGTTGTCACAAAAAGTTACTTCTACTAGATCCCTCTAACCCAGGCATTTTTGGTGATGCCCTTCATGAACAGCTGGATTTTTCTAAGAAAAATGCTTGTGTTGCAGTACCATCTTGTGGTCAACACGGGCAATACTTTGTGCCGGGACACGCATTTTTTTTCCTACACTGAAAAAATAAGAGGCAGATGCAAAAAGAATAAATAGTTTCTCCTTCTTTTCAGATTCCCACGGGAATAAAATTTCCAATGCATCAAGCTGGGGATCCTACGGAGAAGCGCTGGCTCCGCAGAGCCCCAGCATCCTTGCGGTCCCTCCTGGGGAGCTGCCGCAGGCTCCCGCATGCGCTGCTGTCTCCCACGGGGATTTGCCAGCACCAGTGCAGGCCATCATGCAGCACTTACCTCTGTGCTGAGGGAATTTCTTGGGTCATGTTTTTCTAGTAGTACTGCTAGTTATTAATAAGTAGTCACCTCAGAGCAGCTGCCAAAGCACTGTCAGGTGGTGGCCTGGGAGTCGCAGTTTGCAGAGACGTTGCTGAGGGCTTTGATCCACACTTCTGTCCATCCTGGCTCTCTGCTTGCATCAGGGGAAAGATGCCTTCAGCAGCTGAGGCTGGGGAGATGCTCGCCTCCGCTGATTTCAACAGTGTCCTGCTGGGGACCCCTGCTTTTAAGTCACAGCTTCTGTGAAAATTCTGCCGGCTCTCTGCACTGCCTAAATCAATAGAAAGGCCCTTAAAATGATTGCCAGCGTGGCAGGGGCTTAATGGACTGCCAGGCTGAAAGCTGCCATTGAAAATTAGAGGCCTGCTGTGTACGTATTAAGCCACAATTAGCAGAAAATAAGGTTTGGAAGATACACAAATAGTAACCAGCGTATCGCATTTCAGAGGAAGGACGTGATTTCTGTCCCTCACCCTCGTCATTTCTGAGCATCCGTTTGCTCAACAAAAAAGCTGCCCCTCCAAGCAGGTGTTGGTGCTTCTATGGCTGGCCTGGCCAGGTGTCCACCTGCCTTCTCCTGTTGTCACCCACCAAATGCACTGTTCTCCAGTGCTGTCTAAGGCTGCAGGAAGAGGGGGTAATATTTGTGTGCACATCTGTATCACGATGACTGCGTTTTGACTCCTCTGATCCTTGCAGAGGTGAGAAGTCCCAAGCTCATGATGTGACCAGTTCATCATCTCTGATCCCTGGAAAAACAAGCCCCAACAGGCAGTATGAGTGCAGCTAGTACCTGGCTCCATACCTCCAGAAGAGTCCTCCCCTTCATCTCCAAGGTTGCATCCCCAACCCAGCAGCAGGATCCCACACACTGCAACGCTCCATGTTCCCTGAATCCCCATCCACTCACTCTACTTTTGGCTATGGGTAACAGGTGTGGAAGATCTAGAGTAAAAATGCTGAAAACACAACTCTAAGAGCTTTGAAATTGCTGTTTGGTTACTGAAGGAACAGTTGCTGCGGTAACAAGTTACAGCGTGGCAGCGGTGGCACTGCAAACTGCTGTAGAAGACATCTTCCCCAAGGAAAACACTGACAAGCACCGTATTTACTATCAAAAAGGGGAAGAATAATTCACAGGTCTTCCCTCATTTTAGGTAAGTCTTGCACACTTACAAAATGATCTCTTCCTCTACTAATGAATGGGAATGAGGAAAAGCAGCGGTTGTGCTGGTACTCAGAACATTGCAGTGGAAGGACAGCCTCAGAGCAGCTCCCAAAACTTTATTTATTTTAGGCTACAGAGGCCTAAGCCACTGCTGAATTGCAAATAACTTGGGGTTTAGCTTTTGATGAAGCTAAACCCGGTGCATCCTGATTATTGAACGTGTTGGGTTTCTCAGAGAGCAAAGATTTGAGGCGCTCTGCATCACACGTAGTGAGACACCATTCATCAGTGGGTGCTCAC